TAAATTAAAACTCTAAGTGAAATTGAACAGCAGATTTATTTAAGGAGAATTAAACTCATTTGTCACATAGACGGTGAACGTGCAAACAACAACTGATGGTGTTCTTAGATACACTCAACCCTAAAAGTGTTTGAGAAGATGATAATTTTTTCAGGAAAGGAAAAGACATTGTAAGCAAGAGAAGTAATTTGTAAAAAATGTCCAATATGGTCATACTTCAGGGTACAAGCTATGCTGAGGAAGAGCCCTAATTAGATTAAAAATCAAGCAGAGGAATGTAACCTAAGTGTGATAATGAACAACTGAAGTATTTATATTCAGAGAACAGCAAGAAATAAATGACTGACGGACTTAAAAACTACTAGATGCATATGTAATTAGGTTATTCTTAAAATAATGTGACCATCAAAGAACATTTGCTAGACCATAGTGTGTTTACATCTAAAGGTCATGTAGGAAAAGTGTCATCTTATAATGCTCGTCTAGCAAATAATAACAACAAACAATGTTGAGCCAAGGGCAAGGGCTGCTCTGTTGAATAAAGGACATCAGAAAGTGAGAGCTGATAGTAGAGGCAGAATAAAGACTGAGCAAACCCTAACCCATTAACCAACTAGGAAGGACTTCAGCATTAATTACATAAACCGTTAGTTGAGATAGATTAACTAACACAAAGTAGATATTTTCCATGACTTAAAGGACAAGATTCTTCAACTAGTCAGTTAGTTTAACATCTTCATATAGAAGATCATAAATTAGACGTTACTGAAATCATGAACACTAAATCAAGGTTCAGGTTAACTTCTATCATAAATGAGATTTGTTTATAAGGTTCATTTGTTAGGGAAGTTTTAAGGTTAAAAATGGACTTGACAAATGATTCGAGTAGTAGCCTTTGACCTTTAAGATGTCTAATGTCATATGATAGCAGCATAGTGGATAAAACCATGGTATCTAGAAATCTATATCTCCAATAGATAATGTTTCTGATGATATTGGATAATCTCTAATGACATTGATTGATTAATGATAGTGTTTAAGAGTCTGCTCAAGGGAGCGTACCAGGTCATTCACAGATGATAACTTAAAAAGGCACAATCAGTACTTTTGAACGTTTAGGACACCACACAATAATACCTTATTCCTAATGATGGTGTAATTTAGGCTTATAACCAAAACATCAACGTCAGTCCTATTAGGGGTAACTTTGTACATTCTACTTAAATATTATTATAGTTTACTCTTATGGTCAAGGTATTATTGTTAGTCAGCAGACACAATAGCGTCAGATAGTCTGCAGATTATCAAGAGGAATCAGCTAACTATCTTACTTTGGAAAAGTGTCAGGAAGGGCTGGGGTAAACGATAATTTTTAAAACGATTATTCTGACGATTATTTTATCGAATAGTCGACTATTCTAATGACTAGACAATTAATCTAATGATTATTTTTCTATTGCACATTTAATAAAAACCAAAAAAACCTCTTAAATTCCTCAAAAAATTGATACATTGTTACTGTAAGAGAATAAATACTACTGGCCTTCCATTTTGTATAACACTGCTTTTATTGTGTTGGTTGGTTATGTTCTGGTGACTGTAGAACTTGGGAGTGCAGGCTGCTGCCTGAGAGGTGGTTGGAGACGGAGTGTCTCCATGCTGCTTTGATTTGGTCACTTATGTGCGTGAGGCGAGTGGTGTTACGACTCTTCCTGGGGAGTTTGGCTCGTGTGCAAAAAGGAAGGGACAATAACGGGATTTAAAAGTTAAAATGATGATCAGGTTTATTTACAACAAAAAACATAAATCTTTCCATCCACAGGTTGGGAATAATAAAACTAATTCTGCCTGTGGGGAATTAAAACAAAAGTACAAATAACCTGGGATGTCCCACTGGGCAAAGATTACAGGGTTCTGGATCAAAATAAGGATCTCCAAAAGTCCAAACTCTAAACTGGGCGGTTAAACCAAACTCAAGGTGATATTTTATACTAAACTGAAAACCCACAACACTCTAAAGCCCTTTTCAGACAGACATTCTGGAACATTTGTGGACAATTCAATCCGGTTTTTAACCGGAACTGTGTTTTCAGAAACACCACTTTTGTACCGGAACTTGTCCTTTCGGCTGCGTTCACACAGCAGGGAAAAGTTCCAGATGTCTGACGGCGGCGGGGGGTGGGGTGGGGGGGAATTGGACTTATGTTAAGAAGAAGAAGAAGAAAATATCATTTCTATAGCGCCTCTCAAGATAAAAAATCACGAGGCGCTTAAGCTTAATTCTGCGCACACGAAGACGCATAAGAGACCTGGATGATGAAGCTCAATGGTTAAAGGAATCACTGAAGCGGTGTGAAGCGCTCCGTCGCGCGTCTAGGCGGTACCGTAGGAGGCGAGCTGCCATGGTTCGCCGCAAGCTACAATGAGCGAGCTATCTAGGTGCACACAGCGTCCCCCGGTCCCCTCCTCCTCCCCCTCCCTCTTGTCCGGAACTTTACCTCACCAGTCTGAAGCAGCCACCCTGTCAGTAACAAGTCCGGACCTGTTACTAGGGGCTTCGTCCGGATAAATTCCGGAACACGTTATCCGGATGTTTGTATTCAGACAGAAAGGTCTTACGGACAGAGTCCGGAACATTTCCGTTTTTCATGGCCTGTCTGAAGGGGGCTTGAATGTAATAAAAGGGAGATCTGCACCACAAAAAAGATGAACTCTAAACCAAAACGTAACAGCTTATCCCAACGCAAGAAGCTGTTAGCGAAAATGCTAACAGTAGCATTACCAACGTTAAGTTCAAGTTACCAAGTTTAAATAAACCAAAAACACCCAGCAGCAAACAGACCAGCACGGAGGAGAGACTGCTACCACCAAAACAGCTCTCCTAATGTCTGAAAGAAGCTCCTTTATGAAGGGAGAAACGCTCCCGGTGATGTTCTACATCTGCGGTAGAGACGAAGCAGCGCACCTCACCCCGGAAGTTGTTGTCCGTTGCCGGGAGACGAAGGCGGGCAAAACAGGAAAGGAATCTAGTAGCGGACGGACGTTGTTCCGGGTCTTCGGTATTTGGTGGAGATGTTAGTGAAGGCGGAGAAGAGGGCGAACTAGAGGAAAAACAGGCAGATTCCTCCTCTATTTACAAACTCCTGGGGATGCAACAAGTGGGCGCGGTGCGTCGACTTCCGGATCTGACGTCAACAAATTTTTAGGATCGAGCCGTCGACGTCGTCGAGGCTTCGCTACAGCCCTAGTTGCAACCTTAGGCTTTACAAAAAACAGGCATAGCTGCTTACTCTGCGTTGACCCCACTTGGGTTTGGAAAATGAGGATACTCGCTCCAATATGGCGGTGACTATTATGCTCTCCAGCGTCTAATGGGGTGTCTACGTATTCATGTCCAGGACTGTAGGTTCACATTTTTAACACTGGTGTTACAAAGGTCTCAGGTTTTGTAGCACAGAACAAAAGGTTGTAGCACCAGCATAAAAAATGTGTTGCAATCTTTCAAAACCAAACGTAGTTCTTATAATTAAACACAATAACAACCACCAGAGCAGATTCCTGGTAGCGTGAGTCTAACTCACATACTTGACAATAAAGCTGATCCTGACATATCTTCAGACATCCTTGTCAGTGTACATTTTCTTTTATTGTTTGAGATCTGGACCTCTCAAACTGTGGTAGTGTCGTTCATAAACCCGTTCACACACGCCAGAATGAGAGCTCACTTTATTACTCATCAGGAAAAGATACATGAGTTTGGTTTATGTTCACCAAAAATAAAATAAAATAAAAACAAGTTCACGAATGATCGTTCCATGAATTTTTTCGGACACAACTCCACCGTGTTTTATTAAACTTTTACCTTCTGGTTTGGTGCAGCTTGTTTTTGTGTCTTCTTGTTCGTTTGTGTTTCTGTTAAAGGATGAAAATAGGACTGCAGCTATTGGATATGTTAGTATTTGTATATTCTATTGAATCTTCTGATTAATCGACTATTCCATTTGACAATGTTTCAGGTGAAACGAGACCGTGGTCTGCTGCTAAAAAATGAAATAAAACAGAATTATGTCAGACTCTTGTTATTAAAGGCTCTATAATATGTATTAAATCAGTGATGTCTAGTTCCCTGTTTCCCATCTGATATTTTTAGTTAGATATTTTGTAGGAAAAATTACCTACATTTCAGTAACATTTTAGGTTTGTAGTAATATCACCCATCTTAGTCAAAATAACATCTAAATACATCCACAGCTAAACTATGATCAGTAACGTATTTCATTAGCGTGTTCAGTAGTACGCTACTGGAAGTGATGACTTCTACTAATAAAAATGTAACGGTGACATATCTATTTTGTTCGGGTTAGCAATAATCCGGTTTAAATTATGTTTGAAGATGGACACGTTTGTGATTAAATGCTACAGTGGATTGCCATACTCCTGCTGCAGTGTGTGGAGCAGACGCGAAGCAGCAACCTGACTGCGGTTCTGCTGCATAGCGCTGCAGACAGCTAAGAATAAACAGGATGATGGGAACTTTTCTTCCTCTTGTAGAGTTTAAATATTCTTAGTTTCACAATCATCGTGTTTTATCGGACGATCGCGAGCCTGCGTGCTACTCGCTAGCATTAGCTAATCTGCCCAAACTGGATCGTTTCTGCCTGTTTGTCTTATTTGCTGGTTTCTCTGTTTTGCTCCTCAGCACCTAGATTAGCACAAGGTGCGCCCATAAAAAGCATCTTCCTTATTCAATAACAAGCAACTGACCTTGTTCAACAAAGGGGGAAAGGTGTTGCACCAGTGCTACGTCTAAAAATAGTTTATCGCACAGTTTTTTTAATCGCACGTGCCACGTGGCTGAGTGTTTTTCTACTAGCTAAGGGTTACCAGAAATGTTTCTAGGTTGTTCATTAGTTTGCGTCTCCGATATTCTGAGATTGTTTTCACAGCTAATGTCTTAATATCTTGTTTGTTTGTTTGTTTGTTTGAATGCTACTCTTCAGGAGAGACGTGGAACCCCTTAAAGCTGCATTACCAGCTGAGGAACGTCCGAGAACGTTTGGCCAAGAACTTGGTGGAAAAAGGAGTCCTCACAACAGAGAAACAGAATTTCCTGCTCTTTGATATGACCACACATCCTCTGACCAACAACAACATTAAGCAGCGGCTCATCAAAAAGGTTCAGGAGGCTGTTCTAGACAAGTGGGTGAATGACCCTCAGCGGATGGACAAGAGGCTGCTTGCACTAATTTTCTTAGCCCATTCCTCTGATGTTCTGGAGAACGCGTTTGCCCCCCTGCTAGATGACCAGTATGACCTGGCCATGAAGAGAGTACGGCAGCTGCTGGATCTTGAGCCGGAGGGGGAGAGCATAAAGGCCAACGCTAATGAGCTTTTATGGGCCGTCATCGCTGCTTTTACTAAGTGAGACTACAGAACCCAGCAGCAGCCACTTTGGTGGGACTTTAAACGTACTATGGTGCAGGAACCAGAGAGCCAAGTCCAGTATGACTCCTGCCTGGATGTGTGAAATGGCCCACTCTATATTTTTATTATTACTTTTGCCTTTACTCGTTTCTTTTGCTTCAACATAAGTCCTCATCGACCATGACTGGCTCACTTGATTCGGTTTTATTGTTCACTGTTGGATTTCTGTCAGCTCCTGAAAGCTGGACTGAAACCAGACAAGAAATTGAGATGTTTGCTTTTTTGTTTGTCTTTGAAACCGTTGCTTACTGCCACATGTGTCAGTGTTGGTCTACATATCTAAAAGAGCAATTATCAATGTGCATTAACGTGCAAGTGCAGTGATCTTGTGAGGGAGGGAAAGCTGAATGCAGATGAGACCAAATGTGATTGGCACCACAAACATTTACAGTTCAATCGGTGAATTCCTGAAACACGGAGGAAACTTGTGTGATGAAATCCAAAGGTCTGAGTGCTACAGCTGTGAGCCAACACGAGGAACTAATGTTCATGTTTTAGCCCCCATAACAGACTATGCATACATGTTGCTGCTCGTCCTGTGAGGCAACACAGGAACGGCTCCGAGGAAGCCTGGACGTCACCTATAAACGAGTCGTTTCACCCACAGGCGTAGAGCTGCTTCTGCTCCCCTGCAGATAGGAAGCAGAACTCAAAAAGATTTTGTAGAGAAACGTTATTTTTTACCTTTGAATTCAGGATAACTTTACATGTACATAAAAGCTGTACACAGTTCTGAGGAGGACGGGGTTATAACGACCATAATTAAGAGCAAGTTGCTGTGTGTGAAGGTTTATAGATTTTGTGCTGAGAGGAAAAGGTGTTCCGTGGTCTAGTTGTGGAAGGACTGGTGAAAGGGTGTGTGTGTGTGTGTGTGTGTGTGTGTGTGTAGTCTAGCTCGAATCTAAACAAAGTGATGGAAGAAAGTGGACATGTGTTCCTGACCAGGATAGGTCCTACGAAGCGGTCACAGACAGCCCATTCTTTAGGACGTGACTGTTGTTCACATACATTAAGGCTGGCACTGCGGGACCACAGGAGGCGGGGCTTATTCCTCAGCGGCTCTGGCGTTTGATGCACCACTAAAGTGTGTCACACAGTTGCTGTTTTCCATTCTTCAGCCAGCTCTCGAGCTTACACACACTGACCCTTACAGCTCTGTGACTACCTCTGGGGCGACGGTGGCACAGGAGTTAAGTGCTCGCCCCGTAATCGGAAGGTTGCTGGTTCGAGTCCCGCTCAGTCTGTCGCTGTCGTTGTGTCCTTGGGCAAGACACTTAACCCACGTTGCCTGCTGGTGGTGGTCGGAGGGACTGGTGGCGCCAGTGCTCGGCAGCCTCGCCTCTGTCAGTGCGCCCCAGGGCAGCTGTGGCTACATTGTAGCTCATCCCCACCAGTGTGTGAATGGGTGAATGACTGATTGTGTTGTAAAGCGCCTTGGGGGGTTTCAGGACTCTAGAAGGCGCTATATCAAATACAGGCCATTTACCATTTACCATTTACCTCGCTTGTTGGCTCAGTAGCGTGAACAGCATCAGGTTAGCTTCAACCCACCGAGTCGCCTTGGCTTTTACATGAATCACTTCAGGTGGCTGTGCGCGTGTGTGTTGAAATCCAAACACTTTGAGTTGATGAATGAGATGTTTGCCTTCCTCAGGGTTGGAAAGCAGACTGAAAAAAGTTGCCCATAGTCAACACTGACTGTGACAAAATTCAAGCTGCTTTTTAAATCGTTTCTGTGTGATCCATTCCTAACTTGTACGATTTTCTTTGGCTGTAATTCACATGAGCAAAATAAATTAATAACAGCTTAGGTGAGAGAAGGAAAATGTAATTCAGTTCATTCTGTTATGTTTTTGTGCAGATTTCTGAACCATAATAAAATATTAATTTCAAAGGAATTTCTACTCTAAATAATGTCTCTGATCTAAACCAGAGGGCTGTTCCATTAAGTGAGCTTCTCATAAACCAAATTTTGCGAGAACTCCAGACAAATTTCCCCAAATTCAGTTCCACGCACGAGGCTAACCTAAAGCCCCGGTCACACTATGGTGACATGCTTGTGGACAAGCCTGCTGTGTGGCATGCTAGCTAGCTGCAATGGCTTAAAACATTGCAGCTAGCATGCTGCCCCAGAATTGATGTCTGAATGCTGGTGACAAGCCTTGCAAATGTACTCAGGTGGAGCATCAAAGCTTCTGCTTCAATGTCATTAATGTTTTTATTGTTTTGAGTGCTTTGTAATTCCAACCAGACACGGAGGCAGAGGTGAAAGAGAAAGGATGGGGGTAGGCTCAGTTACTGGGATTTTCACACACAACAAGTGATCACTTGTTTAGGAAAAAAATCACAATTACAATATTAAAGTTTGGCCTGAACAGGTCACCAGAATTCCATGGAAAAACTACAATATTCCAGCAAGAACATGACTGAAATCAAACTTACCCAACCCACATCAGTCTCTTTGATCGTTGGGGCCCTTTTGTCTTCCAACATGTGGATTGATCAGTGCATTAGTTGTCTCTTGTCCTACCACAAAGAAGAATATAGGTAACTATCAGCTGTCCGACTGGCTCGCCACCCAGCTCGCACTGGGAATCTTCTAAGGGTTCAAGTTGTCTGCATCTGATGAGGATCCAACTGGAATGCTCAGCCGACCACACTCACAGTTCCTCACCATCTTAGACCCTGACCGCTGAGTAAAAGGTGTGATTCAGCTAGCATCACCACCGACTGGGTGCCAATAACGGAGCTCCCGTGGATGGTGAAGGATTAAAAGCTTACAGTTCTAGCGATTTCCATGCTGTTCTTTTTTCTAACAGGACGTTTTACCGGAAGTGAATGGGACGTGATAACCCAAGACCATTTGAGCTCTGTAATTGGTCAGATTCTCGCTAGGGATTGTAGCGTCCAGCAATGGTCAGTTTAGGTATAGCCTGACCTTCCACCATCTATTCAACATCTGGTCATTAAGGAGACACAACATCGCTTGTGTTCCCTTTAAACAAGTCTGCCTTCACACCAGCTGGGATTCAGACTCCACAAGTCCAAATCATAACATTAACTTACTTTCCTCAAGGTCTCCGCTCCAGAAGAAAGAAGACCCAGCTCGGATCAGTTGCTAAACACAAGAGTTATAATAAATCATTAATAACTTCTATGACTTTTGATCTATTTAATCATTAAATAAACATTTGCTTATTATTACTTGTGGTAAAATAGTATAATGACATGAAATGCTTCATTAATCTAACTCACTGAGTGGATGTTATGTTTATCTACTAGACCGTGTTCATGTTTTGACGACAAGGTCCTTACACCTGCTTCACAATAACAAGTACGGCTAAGTTAAATTCATTCCACATAGCTAGACCTTTCACACAGATCAGAGTCTCCATATTGAAGAAGGCGTGTTTCTGTGTTGCCTTGGTAACATCAACTTTCCTGTCAGCCTCTGATTGGCTGCCCAAATCATAACAGCTAAACTTTAAAACTACAACAGACTGAGAATTCTTCAGTTCGAGAGAGAGTACTGAAGAGTTCGCTCAGACTGGCCATCTGTTGCAATACCCTAGAAACATCCAAGATTTTTACACGTAAAAAAAAAAAACAACTTTTTTTTCTCCTGCAAAGCTGATGAGAAACACTTCCTGCAGAACAAAGCTGAGTTGTTCAACTCCTTAAGAGAATCCCTGAGACGCAAGCTGATTCCATCCTGTATTGCCTGTTGACATCTTTTGGACCGGGGAAAGTCGCTACCGTGTGGTCAAAATACTGGACCTGGGTACCCCAAGGTCATCTGACCTCCCTGACCTCCGGATCCTGACAAGGGTCAGCAAAAGGGCAAGTAGAACACAGAGATTGCATCTGGATGCATTTTGTTGATAACTTCATAAGCTTAACGCACTCCAAATTAATTTCACCAGAATGCAGCTTGATTTGATAAGGAAGCTCTGATCGATATCACATTTACACATTGGTTACTTCAGCACCTCAGTTCCACTCATTCACCTCAAGTGCTTAATTTATTAGTCATGTTTTAAATTGTTTGTAAAATAAATTGTTTTATAAACTTGACTCTTTCTTGAAGTAACACGAAGCGTGGTTGATCACTGAACAAGCAAAGAACCTAGATCTTCTGAATTAAATCCTAGAATCTTCCGATTATCCTAGACTCCTCCTTGAACCGTCACCTTATCGTGGTGGAGGAGTTTGAGTGCCCTAATGATCCTAGGAGCTATGTTGTCTGGAGCACTTTGTGCCCCTGGTAGGGTCTCCCATGACAAATTGGTCTTAGGTGAAGGGTGAGACAAAGAATGGTTCAGAGAATCTTTTATGGATGTAATTTCAAAGAGTCGGCGTACCCGGCCCGGAGGGTTACTGGGGTCCCACCCTGGAGCCAGGCCTGGGGTTGGGGCCTGTGAGCGAGCGCCTGGTGGCCGGGCTTTCACCCATGGGGCCCGGCCGGGCCCAGCCCGAACTGGATAGATGGGCTCATCCAACTGTGGACCCACCACCCGCAGGAGGAACTTGAAGGGTCCGGTACAGTGTGGATCGGGTGGCAGACCAAGGCGGGAGCCTTGGCGGTCCGATCCCCGGACAAGAAAACTGGCTTTTGGGACATGGAACGTCACCTCGCTGGCGGGGAAGAAGAGGAGCTTGTGGCAGAGGTTGAGCGGTACCTGCTAGATATAGTCGGACTCACCTCGACACATAGCATTGGCTCTGGAACCCAAGTCCCTGAGAGGGGTTGGACACTCTCTTTTGCTGGAGTTGCTCTGGGTGAGAGGCAGAGGGCTGGGGTTGGCTTTTTGTTAGCCCCAAGACTGTGTGTCGGGGTTTACGAGAGGGTAGCTTCCCTGCGCCTTCGGTTCGGGGAACGGGTCCTGACTGTTGTTTGTGCTTATGGGCCAAATATCAGTTCAGAGTACCCACCCTTTTTGGAGTCCCTGGGATGAGTGCTAGATAGTGCTCCATCAGGGGACTCCATTGTCCTGCTGGGAGACTTCAATGCTCACGTGGGCAATGACAGCTTGACCTGGAGGGGTGTGATTGGGAGGAACGGCCCGCCTGATCTGAACTCGAGTGGTGCTTCGTTATTGGACTTCTGTGCAAGCCACAGTTTGGCCATAACGAACACCATGTTCGAACATAAGGATGTCCATCGGTACACTTGGTACCAGGGCAGTCTAGGTTGCAGGTCGATGATAGACTTTGTAGTCGTATCATCTGACCTGTGGCCGTATGTTTTGGACACCCGAGTGAAGAGAGGAGCGGAGCTGTCAACTGATAACCACCTGGTGGTGAGTTGGATCAGATGGTAGGGGAAGATGCTGCGTAGACCTGGCAGACCCAAACGCATAGTGAGGGTCTGCTGGGAATGCCTGGCAGAAGAACCTGTTAAGACAGTCTTCAACTCCCACCTCCGGCAGAGCTTTGACCACGTCCCGAGAGCAGTGGGGGCCATTGACTCCGAGTGGGCCTTGTTCCACTCTGCGATTGTTGAGGTGGCTGTTGCTAGCTGTGGTCGCAAGGTGGCCGGTGCCAGTCGTGGTGGTAACCCCCGTACCCGCTGGTGGACACCAGACGGAGGCCTACAGGGCGTGGCTGGTCTGTGGGTCTCCGGAGGCAGCAGACAGGTACCGGATAGCCAAGCGGGGTGCAGCAGTGGCAGTTGCCGAGGCAAAATCTCGGGCGTGGGAGCAGTTTGGTGAGGCCATGGAGAAAGACTTTCAATCGACTCCAAAGAGGTTCTGGCAAACTGCCCGGCATCTCAGGAGAGGAAGGCAGCAACTCGCTCACACTGTTTATAGTGGGGATGGGGAGCTGCTGACGTCAACTGGGGCTATAGTCGGACGGTGGAAGGAATTCTTTGAGTAGCTTCTCAATCCCACCTACACGTATTCCGAGGAGGAACCAGAGCCGGGAGACCTGGGAATGGCAGAAGTTGCTGAGGTAGTCAAACAACTACACAGCAGCGGAGCCCCGGGGGCGGATGAGATTCGTCCTGGGTATCTCAAGACTATGGATGTTGTAGGGCTATTGTGGTTGACACGTCTCTGCAACATTGCGTGGTCATCGGGGGCAGTTCCTAGGGAGTGGCAGACCGGGGTGGTGGTCCCCATCTTTAAGAAGGGTGACCTGAGGGTGTGTTCCAACTATAGGGGGATCACACTCCTCAGCCTCCCTGGAAAGGTCTACTCCAAGGTACTGGAGAGGGTCTGATCGATAGCTGAATCTCAGATTGAGGAGTAGCAATGTGGTTTTTGTCCTGGCCGTGGAACTGTGGACCAGCTCTATACCCTTGCAAGGGTGATGGAGGGGGCATGGGAGTTTGCCCAACCAATCCACGTGTTTTGTGGATTTGGAGAAGGCTTATGACTGTGTCCCCAGGGGCACCCTGTGGGGGACGCTCCAGGAGTATGGGGTGGGTGGCTTTCTGTTAAGGGCCATTCAGTCCCTTTACCAGAGGAGCGTGAGTTTGGTCCGCATAGCCGGTAGTAAGTCGGACCTGTTCCCGGTGAGGGTTGGACTCCGCCAGGGCTGCCCTTTGTCACCGGTTCTGTTCATCACTTTTATGGACAGAATTTCTAGGCGCAGCCGTGGTGTGGAGTGTGTCGAGTTTGGTTGCAGGAGAATCTCGTCTCTGCTTTTTGCGGATGATGTGGTCTTCCTAGCTTCATCCAGCTCTGACCTTCAGCACTTGTTGGGTAGGTTCGCGGCCGAATGTGAAGCGGCTGGGATGAGGATCAGCACCTCCAAATCTGAGACCATGGTTCTCGACTGGAAAAGGTTGGCTTGCCAACTCCGGGTCGGGGGAGAGGTCCTACCTCAAGTGAAGGAGTTTAAGTATCTCGGGGTCTTGTTCACGAATGAGGGTAGGAGGGATCGGGAGATCGAC